AGATCATTAAGGTCGATATAATTGCAACAATTTGTTGTAAGATTGCTGATTACCTAGGGCGCGCCTGAGAGTAGATAATATAGTCTACAAGGAACAAGGATTTGGACCACTCATCATCAGAGAGAAATATTTTTGTTTTCTGCAGTTTTTCTTTTATTGATAACACAATTTTTACACTTAATTTAGAAAAGATATAAATATTTTGATTAGGAGAGTTAGAATAATTTGGGATTTTGAGATTTCAATTAATATTGTTTGTACCATTAATTTTGAAGGTTCACGTACGTAGAACAAAATTTTGAGAATCATTATATGAGATTTTGTTTATTGAAAACATTTGAGTGTGAATTATTTCATTATTTTTATTTCAATATATAGTGTTATATCATATGTGTTTTTTATTATTCCGGTATTCTTTGGACCTTACCTTTCACATGTAGTAGCATAGATATTGAAGCACGAATTTAACCCTGAGATAAGAGAATTAAAAAGTGTGATAGAGTCATAATCATATCATTTAAATAATTTTAATTAATTAATTAGCTAATTAATTGCTTGGCGCACCAAGACTTGAAATATCACAATAATATATATATATATATATATATATATATATATATATATATATATATATATATATATATATATAATAGTGAATTCTGATCTGAAAAAGCCTAAATGTCCATAAGTTTCTCACTAGAATTTTCTGGAAAACGTCAATACACAAGACAGTTAATCCTTATTGCATAGTAGATGATTCCAGAACTTTCATCTATGGATGAGATTAAAAGTTTAGAACATGATTTCTTTCCCGATCATTCTGGAACCATGAAAAGATATATAAACGATGTAATTTGGAGGAAGGGGGGATTATTACGTAAGTTACAGTTGATTCGTGAAGTTAGTAAAGTTAGAAGATCATTAAGTTACAGGAAGTCATTAATTTACAGTCAATTATTCAGTTACAGTCAATTATTAAGTGAATTAGTTAGAAGAATTTAAGAATTAAGTTTCATTAAGTCAGTCAGTCAGTTACAATTGATTAACTGAGAAGAATTCATGAAGAGTGATTAAGTTAAATTAAGTTAGAAAAAAGGATTAAGTGAGAAGAAGTCAGTCAGTCAGGTACAATTAAGTTATTAAATTAGATTTATCAAGAAAGTTAGTTCAAGACAGTTATAATTAAATTAAATAAAAAAAGGATTAACTTAGAAGAATTCATTAAGTCTGATACAGTTGGAGAATAAATTAATTCAATATAAATAGTTGAATACAGGAGTATAGTATATTATATGGAAATTACAAGAATTTTAAATTATAATATATATATATATATATATATATATATATATATATATATATATATATATATATATATATATATATATATATATATATATATATATATATATATATATTGTGGCTAAACACCCCGTACGGGGTTACGCCGCTTAAGCTCTCTAGATCTATTTTACGAGGTAGATCAGTCCTCATTTTCTTTCTTTAATTTTTCTTGTTATTTTTCTCCACTGTTTCCTATCTCTGAGATCGTTTGCTACTTCTTGTAGCCATGTAGATCTTGGTCTTCCACGTCTTCGTTTACCAGCTGGTGTCCATTCCAATATTGAGAATATTGTCGTAGATGGTCCTGATCTCCATATATGTCCTAGCCATTTTGCCCTTTGCTGTTTTATTTTACAAACTATATCCTCTTTAATTTCGTTTAGTAGTTCATGATTCGTTCTTTGTCTATATTGGTTTTCATTAATTTTTATTGGTCCTAATATTGCTCTTAGTATTTTCCTTTCTAGTATTCTAAGGTCTTCCTCTTGCTTTTTTGTCATGCTAAGGGTTTCGGCAGCGTACATCATAGTCGGTTGAATTATTGTTTTATATATTTTCATTTTCGATTTTTTGCTCAGTAATTTATTTTTTAGAAGCTTTTTATTTGCATAGTATGTCTTATTTGCTGTAATTATCCTTTCTTTAATTTCTGTTTCCCTTTCTCCATTGTTTGCTAATAATATTCCCAAATACTTAAACTTTTCTACTTCTTCAAATATATATTCTCCCAGTCTAACCTTTTTGTTTACATATTTTTTGTCAAATCTCATTATTTTTGTTTTTTCTTGATTTATTACTAATCCCATTACTTTCCCTTCTGCTACCAATTCTTTTAACATACTTTCCATTTTTTTCTGTTCTTTGTTATTATCACAATATCGTCGGCATATGCTATTATTTGTCCCTCTCTCGTTCTAAGTGTACCTTTGTTGATTTTTCTGACTATATATTCCAGGGCAAGATTAAACAGAGTTGCAGATAATGAATCTCCTTGACGTACACCTTTATTTATAACAAATTCTTCTGTGTCTCCTTCTTGTGTTTTTACAGTTACTACGGTTTTGCTCATTGTCATTTTTATTAATCGTCTTAATTTGTTGTGTATTCTCATTTCTCTCATAGCTGTAAGTAATTTCGCTCTGTTTATTGAATAAAATGCTTGTTGGAAGTCTATAAAAAGCAGTTCAATTTCTATTTTATATCCATAAGCTTTCTCCATAATTTGCTTTACCGTATGTATGGCATCTGTTGTTGACTTTCCCCTAATAAATCCGCATTGATACTGTCCCATGATCTTTGTTGTCGCTTTGGCCAGTCTTCGTTGTATTAAGGTTGACATGATTTTATACGCTGTGTTTAATAATCCTCTATAATTATTACACATTTGTTGGTCTCCTTTTTTATGGATTGTGATAATTTGTCCTTTGTGCCATTCTTCTGGCATCTTTTCTTCGTCCCATATGACTTTTATTAATTGGTATATTTTTTCTCTGAGTTCATGTCCACCATATTTTATTAGTTCCATGTTTATACCGTCTATACCTGGTGCTTTACCGTTGCGACTACTGTTTATAATTTCCTCAACTTCATCTCTCGTTGGTTTTTCTAGCTCGGTTTCTATCATCGTGGTCTCTTCTTCCACATTTTCATTTAAGTCTTCCAGTAACCATGAACTGGTCTGTGTCTGCATGTGCACCTCTGTAAGTTCTCACGTCTGTTATCGATGTTTGCTTTCTCTTTGTGATGAGTATATGGTCTATTTGGGACCATGTTTTTGGTCTGGTGAGACCCATGTTACTTTGTGGTATACAGGGTGTGCAAATTTTGTACTACTGTCAATCATATTGGTGCTAGTTGCTAAGTTTCATAATCTTTGACCATTATCATTTGTTTTTTCATGTAATGTATATTTACCTGCAACTTGGTTAATGTAGTCTTCTTTGCCTATCTGAGCGTTAAAATCTCCCATTACCAGAATTGGGTCTTCTTTGGGTAAAGATTCAATTTCTTGTTCCAGTTTCTCATAGATGTTATCTTTTTCCTCTGCTACAGCACTTTCAGTTGGTGCATATACGTTTATGATGGATATATTAAATGGTTTGGCGTTAATTCTCAGGTATGCCATGCGCTCATTTATTGGTTTAAATTGCATAATGTTACTTTGTATTTTTCCTGTAGTTATAAATGCAACTCCATATTGACCTTGTTTTTCGTGCCCAGAGTAGTGTAATGTGTAATTTTTTTTATTTATTTCTCCTTGACCTGCCCATCTAATTTCTTGAATTGCTGCAACATCAATTCCGTATCTTTCCAGCTCTGAGACAATCTCTTGCATTTTTCCTGGTTCAAGCATTGTTCTGATGTTCCACGTACTTATTTTTACTTGCTCGTGTTTTTTAATTTTTTTGTTATGTTTTTTATGTACGTATGTTCTATTATTTTTTCTTGAGAATTCATATCCTTTTTCTTTGCCACTTCGTATTTCGTTTCTTGTTGGATATCCGATATTTCTTGTTGTATCAGTTTTTTGACGTCCCTTGGTTATCTTTTTCCAACTCTTTTTTTCTTTATTCCATTTCCATATGTCCCCGTCAATATTTAATTTTTGATAGCCAACTCGGATGTTCTTACCTTTAAGTTTTTCTAATTTTCCAATTTTCCGTATTTCCTGTTGTATCTTCATCTCTTCGTGCGTTAGATCATTATTAATGTATATTTCTGGTTTCGTTGATCTTAGTTTGTTTTTATTCCGCATAATTTTTATTTTTTCATTTCTGTCTTTTGTTTTTATAAGACATGTTTTTTCACCTAGTTTGTAAGCTTCTTCAATTTTTACTTGTATGACCAATTCTTTTTCCATAAAATTAGTGATGGTCTTGTTAAGTTCATTTGGATCATTTGTATCCATCGACAGTCCTTGGACTATAACATTGTTAGCTTTTCTTTCTTTCTCGAGCTGTTCTATTTTCATCTTTACTATATTTAGTTCCTGTTTAATTTCTTTATTTTCTTTCTTTAGCTGTTGGTTACTTTGTTTGAATCCATTTATTTCTTCTTTCAATTCACGGATTTCATTTTTGTATTCTCGTTGTTCTTCTTTTATTCCTCTTACCTCTTCGATAGGTATTTTGTTTGTTCCGTTAAATTTTGCATCATTTTTAAGAGCTGATCAAATTATAATATCTATATGAAATTTTAAAAATACAAGGATAACCGAAGCTGATTAAGAAGATATTTAGTGGTGATCATAACTTTGATTTTGGAAAATTTTAGGCGTTCAATGATAGAAAGGTACCAAATTTTGTTAATATAATTTAATAATTGTAAGAATTTAAAATTTTAGATAGGTTGTTTTAAATTTATACTGTTTATATTAGATATATATGTCTGTTTCATAATAGTTATAATAAAGATAATTTAAAAAAGTACTTACAAACTAATTCTTTGAGAACCGCGATAAAAACCCTATACTCATATATTTTATTTTAAACCCTCATTGCTCATATACAACAAAAAACATCATAACAATATATATATATATATATATATATATATATATATATATATATATATATATGTATATATTAAATTAATTAGATTTGTACACCATCAACAGTCGCTTATGTGCCTATGCTGTTATACTTCTATTGTTTTAGATTAATCAATATGGCCGGTCATGTTTGCTGGAAACAATCGAAGATCGTCAAACGTGAAAGTCATGCAACTATTTCATGAAATGAAACAACAATTTCCCACCATTCCCGACCATCTGGTAACGTCTTCTATAACTTCATATATTCAATCAAATTCGAAACAAAAGAATATTGTCGATTTTATAGAAAAAACATTAGCAGATTATAATTTAGCGCAGATGGGACGAACCTCTCAACAATTGGAATTACCCCCCTTAGACATATCTTCCACGCTGCAAGCGAATGTTTCAGAAACGGCAAAGTTTAACACTTGTCAAACCGAAATGGACGAAAGTTTAAGTGGTAATAAGCAAAATAGTGAAAATATAGAGGCCAAAGATTTTTGTAAAACTGTAACAAAACGACCAAATTATCTTAATATTGAAGGTAACAGAAGTGAAACTAAAAAGACGTTTAATATTCAGCTATCAGAAAAGTGCAAAGATGTCCACAAATTACTTAGTTCCGAATTTAGTGAGAAACCACCACGATCTCCTCAAAGCATCAAACAATTTACGGTTAAAGAATCTGAGTCAAAATTAGAACAACCTCTTGAATTGCAAGGACGGCATAATACTGAGTTATTAGGTGATATAAAAATGGAAACATGTTCCACGCCTGCCCAAACTACGGATACGTTAATAGGCAATCAAAACGTAAATCTCTCTTTAAACGTCAATTGTTCGGTAGACTTAGTACAAAGTCCAACTCAACCAAAGCGTACAACAGCACTACAACTAACTCCTTCTCAGCCTTGGTTGCAAGTACCTACGTCACCAAGGAGTTTTACCAGTGTTAATCTCACATTGAGACCCCCAACTTCTAGTGCTCAATATCCAATTGATATAACATCACAAAATTCCAGTTTAACATATTCTACCAGTAGTTATGACTCACAAAAAGGACTACAGAGTAGATTACAGATTACTGTGGGGCCTAGCAATGGAAGTGTATCTTCACTCCGAGTTAGACCAAAAAGTTACCATCCACAAGAACATCACAAACAAGTGGTTTCAGTGAGAGCTGGATCCCTTAATAATTTGTCAGCCAATACCGACC